TTACACCATTCGATGCGGAATGACGAGATCTATCCATCACAAGCGCTTAGAGATCCATCACAAGTCCTTGAGCGAATATCAGCAAGAAATACTCGAATCCGCTGCTAACTTCCACTACGTGAGTTGATGTTGGTTGGCTGGTTGGTTTGTTCTTTCACATCATCGTTCGATACTGATTATTTAGTGACGCTGTTGGAGGACAAAGTTTGACCGACAGGTAATCATAATTAAGGATCTCGAATCTGGTATTAGTTTTTCCAAAATTTCAATTGGCTAATTAGCTAATTACTAATTAAGAATGAATAATTTTTCGGTTACCGAGTAAGGGTTGACTGAAGGATAATCGAGGTCAAGAACCTCGAATTCGAAGTTAGTTTTTTCATAAAAGCTTCCTGTCTCGTTTTTTTTGCGATAAAGAATAAATTTTTGTAGCCGATAGTGTTTTAAGCGGTAATATGTTATCAACTCCCTGAAGAACGCGACAAATATGATCGATCTTGTTTGTAACACAGATAGTGCAGACGCATCTTCATATAGCTTCGGACTCGAAATATTTGAATAAATCTTTCCTATGTTTATTGGATTATATATATTAAATACTTACCAGATGGTGTTTCTGTTCCAGAAATAACCATCACAATGACGCTTCCTATGCTGGCGACCAACGTATTATTTTGATTCGCTACATGCCATCGAACAGTTGACAGCTGTCGTTGATTTGATGAAAAGTAGCAGCCTTGCACCGAACTTGTCGTAAGCAGTTACTTTGACATAGAAGAATAGTCGGTACGAATGCAGTTGCGAACAAGTTGATGTAGCACATTGAAATTCCCGTCCATTCATGATAGACATCATAAATGACTTTGTGCTTTGTGCAACGGATTGTCCTGAAGCAACAATCAGAATCATGATTATTGTTTTTATCCAAACCATGATGTGTCAAACTTTGAATTGTTTAGTGAAATAAGAAGTTTGCATGTGAAAGTAAAACTAAAACGGACTACTGTGGATGAGAACCTTTTTATATCTTTTGTGCGTCTCTCTTTTTCTCTTTTGCGTAGTAAATATGACGTTCTTTTCATTTGCTGAGGGTGATGGTTTGTTGAAAACGCAGTATTGGTGTGCAAATGAACGAAGACAGCAAATTGAACATTTTAACGATGGTTTAAATCAGAATTTCTTTGCCTATGTTCAACTAGCAATCTTCAAAAAACTAGTTGTAATGTTGCTTTTTTATGTTCTCCTTTCGAGTCAATACTACTAAGATCGCTAAGTGTATTCAACGATGGTCAAGCATATATGCTTACAGCGACAATCGACGAGTACCCTACGAGTTACACCTTGAACTTGAATGTACTTAATCTTAGTGCCCTATTAATTGATTCTAGCCGAAGAATGATGTTTTCAAATATAATGTCATCCTATATTGAAAAAGAAGTTACCTACTAGATTACGAAACTATTTTATTTTATTCTTAGCGCACAAAAACAGTCGTCAAAAGCAGTCAGCGTATATGATAGAGCTATGATGCACCCTTCCTTACACCCTTCACTGTCTGTCCGTTATACACGGACGCAAATATCTTGCAAACATTTTCCGTTTTTTCCGCATGGTCGTGTTGAATTCTTTCTTGTATATTTCTGATGGTAAGACAAAAATGAAGAAATGGAGTATCGGCGGAACAAACGAAATGAAGTAACTCACAAAGAATAACTTATATTCTTTTGGTGATTTCATACACGCAGGTAAAAAGGATAGAACCAAACGAGGTAATGCCAAGATAATCAATAGAATTGAGCTAATAAACAAATGTTTATGCAGATAAAATTGGGCTTTCAACTGCTCTTGAAAAACCAATTGCTTTCTGGCTATTAATCGTTGTCGAGTAGTTCGAATGACAATACCAAAAACAAAAATAACATTCAATAAGAATGGAACGATAAAATGAAATGTGTTTATAAATCGATTGTAAATTTTAATAGTTGCTGAAAATTTAACCAAGCACCATGTTCTTTGCTCTTCAATATCATCTATCAAATGACGATGTATCGGATCATGAACAATCGATATGGCAGTGAACATCGAGATAAGAAATATAATTCGCTTGGCAACTTGGCAACTTTTTGTCTTGTCGAAATGAATACCAAGGTATACAACGAGAAACCTCTCAATTGTTACGCAGCAATTCAACCAATCAGTCATTGATAATAAAAGACGAAGAAGAAATTCAAGTGAAATACAATTCAATAAAATTAACGATCGCCGAGTTATCACATTCATTTGTGTTAGAATTAAAATCCATATCTTCATATAAAAGAATATAATTATCAAAATTGATGTTATTGACGAACTGAAAAGATAAAATCCACAACCGGTTGTCCGTGTTTCTCGTACTTGAAATGTCAAATTCGATAGAACTCCACCGAGAAAACCAATCAGAAATAGAACTGTACTACAAATTAAACCAATCCGGACAGGTAAGGATTGTTTTATCAGAGATAAGTGTGGATGGATGTGATAGCCTAAGATTGAATCAAGGGATAGGCCTGAGTGTTTCGTAGTAAATTGACATTTATCACCATAGAAGCATTCTTGACAAACACACATAATCTTTGTTGGACAATGTGGATGATCTTGAAAGCATTCTCCGTTATTCTCACAGATATTCTCACCCATGCAATTATAGTTCATACGAAAATCGAAATGAAAACAATTTGCATGTCTTTCTTCAGTGCATAAACATAGAAATGTATAGTTATCATGAAAACAATTCAGATCAACGTGATTTCGACAGATTGTATGATAATATTTGACACGATGAAGTGAAGAGTAACCAAGAATAGTTTCGTTGAAAACTTCTCGAATGTGTGGACAGTATTGTGAAGGTGTAACTTGCGTTGATATGGAAATCGAAGGGGTGTAGTTACGTTGAAGAACGGCAAGATAAAATGCATTGTAGAATTCGACGAAAACGAGATGAAATGGTAAGGGCATATTGACATTGATTCGATTTTCATTGAATCGAATCTTTTTGAAAATTGTTATTCGAACTGGTTCGGTTTTCCTCCATTCTTTAGAACGTTGAAGAACATGGAGAAAATGAATGAATAAAGACTCGACAATCTTAACATCACTGAATGAAATCTCGATTTTCACATCAGTTTTCTCACAATATTCACCGAAAAATCCATCACGACAAATACATTTAAAATTCTTCAATGATTCTTGAGAATTAAATGGTAGACAAATACCTCCATTCAAACATTGATTTTCCATTTGACAAACGGAATTAATATAACACCGAGGTCCAACTTTATTTGATGGACAGAGACAGATGGATCGATTTTGTTTAGAACCAATACAAATCGAGTCCGATGAGCAATCACAACGATACGAACTGATTGCTTTCCGACATTGACAAGTTTGAATGTGATGAGGATTTGTTAACAATGGATGATATTTGTCACTGCATACCACACGACAATCATGCTGCACTGGAATTTTTAATTGTACGCTCATCCGATTCACAGGGAGAAAAGGAAATTTTAATTCGTAGATCCAACTTGTCAGATAAGCCAGATTTATTTGATTATAAACATCGATATAAATCGAATAATTGTTCTTCATATCTTTCAGACGATGGTGGTACAGAAGATGTAAGTTATATTTCGTATTGCAAAGGATTATTGGAATGTATCTGATTTGCTGATAAGAATGTACGAAACCTGTTTGATCAACCAGTCGAACGAGAAGATCGATTACATGAGATTTGTTCAGAATTTCCTGTCGTAATCGAATAGTTAAGCCAACACGCTGGTTTTGATACTGACAAAAATCACCGTAGTAACTTTCTGGACAAAGACATGTTTGTGTTTGATTTTTACCTACAAGAACTACAAAACCTTTATTGCACAACCATAATCGTTGATCATAATTATTTTCAAGAGAAGATCTTCTCTCAGATTTGACCAAAATAGGTTGTACCGATTGATTAACAAATGGTATCGGCGGATAGGGATGTAATGATTGATGAGAAAAAGGTTCTCGTGAATATACATAACGTTTTGCTATAAGTGCCATATAAAGAGAAGAAAAAGAAAAATTCTTCGTAGACAAAGAACACAGATGATTCTTATCGTCCAATCTGTCGCAGTCATCGCAAACAGTGAGAATATCAACACATTTTGTATCGTTTAAACAGCGATAACTCATTCGAGGATCGTTTGGATATTTCAATTCGCAATAAGATTGTTCATCCAACGATCCGAAACAATGCATAATTCCATCTTCAACATAATTGATATGTAAACAACCTAATGTTTGATTTTCAATAAAAAAACAAGGATGATGATTTTCAGGACATTGAGACTTCGATTGACAATGAACTTCATCAATTCCTTTTGGACATTCCCATCGATCATTACAGCGTGTATACTGATTCACACAAGGCCACAATTCACATTGGGTTTCATCGGTTTCATTTTCTGCCAAATGCAATTCAATCCAATTATTACAGATACTTGAAAATGGAAGCTGATGAATATTGATTAGAGTACCTTCACGCTTGAATTCATCTTCACCACCAATACAGTATTGTTTTCTGTTGCCAACAAGTGAAGGAGACAAACATTTCGATTCGGATGTACATTGAAAACGATGTTTGTCATTCAATGCACATGAATTAACTGCAGCTGATTCATCATAATCATTAGGACAATCGAAGAATCCATCCAGAACTCGACGCTTCGTTATACATTTCGTTGTTCCCAAACAACGAACCGTAGTTGAATTTCGACAAAAATGTTCGTTGTCCTCTTGAGAAAAATGGGTACACGATTGAAATATTTCATAAATATTATTAATCAAAGATAAATTCAATTGATGAGTATGTAAACATGTCTGATTATCCAATGTAAATGTTGAAATAAGAAATGGACAAAGATCTTGTCTATAGCAAACAAAATGAGGGCTATCTGCAAACAGTTTAATTGATGTTTCATTTGAAAAATAGCCAAATTTGAAATGTCCATCCCATACTGGAACAGTAGGGGCGATAAATGCCGATGGGCACTGCTTGAGAGTTTGCAGTTCACATTCTTGTTTATTGTCACATAAGTTTTGACAATATTCAACAAAATGATTTGTAAACCACATATCTGACGCGCACATAAACATTTTGAAACAACGAGAATATCGCATGTCCAACGGATTGTTCCAACTAGCTAAAAAACCGAAAACTCGATTTCGTTTATTTGGACACTCTGTTAAACCTTCTGGAACACGAGAAACCAAGCAATTTCCATCTCCACAATTAAAAGAAGTCGAATACTGACACACTGTATCTTCACATTTAAAAGATGGATCTCTTGCACACCAGTTTGAAAATAAGAATAAAGGTTCATCTGATCCATCTAAACATTCGGGACTATGAACTTTCGTTTCTTCATCAGATAAGAATCCTTCATCGACACATAAACCATTTCGACATTGATATTCATTTTCTTCACATTCATTTAATTCAAGTTCAAGACAAAATCTTTCATCTTCGCCTCCATCAAGACAATCAACTTTCCCATCACATATTTCACGCCAATCGAGACACAGTAATGGGGAACCAAGATCACATGTGACATGTTGGTAACATGTTACTTTTGTATTTTTGTTGAATTTTGTGCGTTGATCGATTCTGAGTTGAATAAAAAATGTAAATGTTTCATTCAAGACAAATCGATATTGACACGATGGGCCAAACCACGGTAAAGTACAATTATAAAACATTTCATTTGTCGAAGATTTATTCGTTTGTAAAAATATCTCGTACCGTTCGACAACATCGATTGGACTTGACCATTCGATTAGGCTTTTTGAAGTTACTTGCAGTTCTTTCAGTTGATCAAACGATAATGTAGATGATACGGACTGTCCATGATAAAGTACACCCTCTGGCGGCAATACTCGTATACAATATTCGACAATTTGATGAATTTTATACGAGTTTTCATCTAAGTCAATATTTTCAATTGTTGCTGAATAAAAACAATCATGATCAAACTCGTTTGTCGGTGTATCCGTATTATAGAGATTATAAAACGGCTGCAACGTATAACAGTTCGAAATAATGATGATATATAATAGGACCAGCATTTCAGATCGTAAATATCTAACTGATTTCATTATATTTTCTTTCTTGTTCTCTGCTATTTCCACTCTTATTTATATTTGAATAAAATGTAATTTTGAATATCTATGAGCATGACAGCAGATTTTAACGGAAATGACAACAAAAAACAAGCGGGCATATTGTAATATGTAATTTTCAGTAAGAATTACGACGTTGAAATAAAACACAAGTCGTTTTAATTTACGCCTCTGCTTTTTACTGCGATCTAGCTTTGACACTATTCAGAAATTCAGCAACAGGAAAGATTTGGTGATAAAATGTTGACAAGTACAAACGTCGAATTTTATCATTGTCGAAAATGTTTTCCGGCTTTATCGCAGACATATGTTGTATTTGATGGTTGCATCTATCAGTTGAATCGGGAAATACTGGCGTTGCATGGATGGAATGTGTTCGGATTGTGTGCACATCGACCATCACAATGAATGCATTGAAAACCTAGAAAATTATGAATCTCATTTGTCAGAACATAGTGAAGTTACTATGTTTAAAGAAAAGCTTAAAGATCTAGTCGTCAAAGAAGGGAGTACTACTACTAGAAAAATCTACAACAATGCGTTGCGCTCGGTTTAGCTCCTCGACCTGATGAAGCAAGTACGTATGACAAAAAGCTTCAGATAGATCTTTTCGAAAGTTTGTCCCATGAATAACTAACATTATCACCATTCGGTGCAGAATCAACTTCTACATTGAATGAACGGGACTTGTTTCTTCGCGACAGCTTCGTCGTGCTAGTTCCATATCGATGAAAAAATCATTGAAATATTGACATGTCATTCATTTCCAAACTCTAGTTGATTCTGTTATTCAAACATTGGTTCAGATTTCGACGGATGCATATTGCAACATCATTGATATGCTTCAATCAATGCTTGCAGTTTTTACATGTTAGTGATCATCTCAAAGCTGGTTAACTTGTATACTGTGTAATTCAGATGGCTTGAAGGAATGGGCAGAAAGTTTGGCATTAAGCGCCTATTTACGTTTGATACTTTCGAAATAAATAAATCTTTATTTCTTCAGACGATTTAACAAACTCGACATTTCCTAGCTCCTGGAGACAATCTTTCAGCCACATTGAATTGAAGTCATTTAGAGATCGAAGATTAAGCAATATTAACTGAGATAAATGTTTGAATAAGTACAATATGAATTCCTCATTGTCATTCATACATGTCAAATGTCTAATCGATGAAAATGTTTGACAAAATCGTTTCAATTGGCTGAGGTTATTGACTAAACTCTTACCATTACAAGATACTTCTAATTTCAAAATCGTTCTTGTTAAATGTTCGCATAATCCATCATTTTGAAATAAATATTTTAGATATTCTCTATCAATAGTCAACGATGAAATCTGTTGTGCTTCTTTCAAAAGATATAACAGCATTGATGGTTTGATCGATCGACTTGCCGATGTCATATTCAAACTTGTTACATTCAGTAAATTAACAGTCGCTTTCAGAGATTCAAGTTGTGTCCTTTTCATGATTGAATCTGTTTCCATAAGTTGCGTGTTAGATAAGCAAAGTGATGTGATGCGAGAAAAATAAGAAGGGTATGCTCCTTCAGCTAAAGCATCAACATCAATAGCTAAATCGCTAATATTATCAAATTTATCGGTATCATTTGTCGTGGAATTGCAATGTGTAGAAGCGCCTCTTTCAATCCGATACATCTTTGAAATGTACGGAGTTGTATAAATCCTTGCTGAACGATTTGATATCACATATTCAGTACGCCAGTGGTGTTGTTCCACCCAGAATTGTCCTCGAAATTCTTCAAATCCCATCTCAATACACCGCGATTCCATATGACGATCACAAGAAAATACGAATTGAAAATGGATCAAATGAAGTAAATATAGACGAATGATATTTTCCCATACAGAAGCACGAATAGCATTGTCACCATAAAATACATCTATCTTTAAGTACGTTAAATTCGGTGTTTGCTTAAAAATCGTCCGAAGAGTATCGTTATCATATGGAAAATGTTCGATCGTCAAATGCGTAAGGTGAATAGCATCATCAACATAAGACAGCTTTGCAAAAATATCTTCCGTAAAGCTTAAATGGCTCCAAGTACTGATCTGGAGATGTTTCAATCGTGAGGCACTTTTCCATATTGATGTTAGTTGATTTTGATTGCAAGATGATACTGTTAGATTTTCAAGAGATGAAAATCGGTCGATGTCGGCGATGCTGTTGGGTAATGTTGGAATTGATAATGTTTTGAGTTTCGACGTTGGTAAAACGGAAATAATGGCATCGCTTTGTGTGTCAAAATCTGTATAATTAAATGAAGTTAATTGTTCGAGATATGGTAAAGTTGATCTAATTAATTCAAGATTGTCTTCTGTGACTGCCTTTAGAGTTAATGACTGAAGGTGAATGAATCGATCAAGTGAAAACCGAGAGAGAAACGGTTGAATCTGCCAACAGGTATTTTCATTTGATAGATATAATGAGTGGATTTGTGTAAAGATCTCTTCATTTGATGAAATTAATTTACAACATTGATCAAATAGTGGTTGGTCGATATTTTCGAAATTCACTGATAATCGAATTGAATGAGGTACATCGATGAAATCAAGATATTTGAAACACGAAGTTCCTAACGTCGTCGCCATTTCTTGCTTGCCGTCGTTCATATTCAGATAAATTTGATTCTGAGGACGTCACAAGTATTTATATAACCTGAAACAGTTCTACAAATTTTCCCCCTTACACAACGTGATGTGGTTAAAGTGAAAGATGTTGCGCAATGTTGTTTTTTCCTGACAAAATGGTGGTATAGATGAGTCATAGGTTAAGCGATAAAAAAAATAATAGAATGGAAAAAATCATGCACTAGGCAGGTAGTGTATTTGATTATTGACAGTATGTTTTATCGTGCCATTAGTACCAAACTCGAAAGTTGAATTCAGCATGTTTGTTGCTATAAAAAGAAAATGAATTCCCAGATAATCTATATTAAATATTATTTAATTCGCTTTTAATGTTTTATTTATCACTGTTCGCACTGCATTTGGATTTTAAACAACATTCTCGAATGGATGTATTCGTAGTTTGTTGATTATCTTATTTCTCTCATTTCTTATTAAGTGATGTATTTTCTATTTGTTTGGAAGATGAACATCACCATGATCTTTTATTCAAAATCTTTTCATGACTTGAATATCGTCGTTTATGTTTCAACTATGATGTTCATATGTAAGTGTTAGATTATATGTTGCTTTATGGAGTAGAAACTATGAAAGTTATATAGTTCATGATAATACAGATCAATACTGACGATTAGCATATTGACAAACTGAACAGCTGAATTCGATGATTATTTGTATCAGCTACCACTAGATCACCTTGTGGACTAAATATAACCGAAGTCACAAATTTTAATTGGTTCGCTGCTGTTCCTGACGTTGTACCGGCAACTAGGGCACTATTATTTGCACCTACTGTCCAGCGTAGAATACGAGCATAAGCTAGAATATAACAATAGTGAAGCAATATTGATTCTTGTTAGTATTTGCAGTGAGAATCAAAGCTAACTAATCGATTCTCTAAAAAATATTTCAATAAAAGGAGAACTATCCGAAAGAACTCGTCCTATAAAATTTTTATTTAAACTTTTCTTACTTCGATCAACTACATAAACGTCTCCACTGCTGTCGACTATAACACCTCTTGGAGTACCAATTTGATTCAATCCATTTCCATTACCATTGCCTCCAGCCACAACTGTTCCAGCTGCTCCCTGTACTGAATTTGATGGATATTTCAGTACTCGATAATTACCAGTATCAGAAACATACAAAGAATTTGTGTAAGAATAATCAAAATATACTCCAGCTGGTGATTTTAAGTCCGAAGTAGTACTTCCTGAAGAACCACTACCTACACACAATGATATAAAAGATTATCTGAAAACAATTCTTATACCTGCTACAACTGTCGGTGATCCATTGCCGCCAGTAAACTTGTAGACAACATTATCACCAGAACTAACTACGTAAATATCATTAGTTCGTGGATCTATCGACAGTGCTTGGGGTGAATTTAACGATGTGCTAATATCTGTGCCTGCTGTTGCTGAATTTGAATTTGCTGGAAACCTGACGAGACGATTACATGACGCATCTGTTACGTACAATTGACCAGCACTATCCAAGCTTGCTCCAGTAGGAGTTTTAAACGAAGTTGTACCACAACTATTAACACTGTCTCCAGCAATGACTGTTCCTGGTGAAGATGGATTGGTTACAGAAAATTTTAGAACACGACGATTTCCAAATTCGGCGATAATATATGCAGTGTTCATTGAATCATAGTAAAGGGCGTAGGGTGTAGTGAGATGCATAAGATCACTACCACTAGTGCCTGCCGGATCACCAAATATAGTAGTGCCATTTTCCTGCCATGATGACCCCGAAGAAGGATGACATGCTGTACAACAACAGATAGAAAAGGGCGAAACAGAAATATGTCATGTTGAAATTTTCATAGTTGGAGACATATTTGACTCACTGGTAGTACTTGTCGTAACTGTTGAACTTGTGACTGATCTTGCAGTTGTTTGCTGTGAGCTGATAGTGTTAATTGTTGTTGTTGATTCATCAGATGCTGGCAATACTGAAAGAGTTAATTATAGATACAAATAAATAATCACTAGTTTCTAGTGAATCATGTTCACGCGCACCGTAATATTGAGTCAAGTCGGCCAGTTGCAGGGGAAGATCAACAACTCGTCCATCAAGTAATGGAAAAGGCAAAACATAACTTTTGAGATTTAAAAATATAGACAAAACTCGTTGTCGAAATAATTTTTGGCACTGAAGAACGTGAAAACATTGACGCGGATAGAAAGCCTGCAAAACCACATCCAAATATGCATTAAAAGATGTATTATTTGTCGATGTTATGAGATCTCTTCAAAAACAAGTTAATAAAGCATCACTTATTGAAACTTTCGATCAAAATTTCAACATACTGTCGACGAAGGCGTTCGCCTGAGACATCATTGAAAGAAATAATGACAGCTGTCGTAACTGATATTGTGCCTGAAGGTAAATTTGCAACGCTGTCAAACTGAAAATAAAATAAAAATAATCGTACGAGAAAATTTGTCAAAAAAACGAAGTAATTGACTTACTGCTCTACCCATGGTTCCCGATTAGGTGGGGGCTGGGGGGGTCTAGCCCCCACCAAAATAAAGTTGTTTCTGTCAAACTTTTTTATGCTTATGACGCTTGCAACTTTCGATCATAGTGCAAATGTATGAAACTATACTGAAATTACACTTTTTTTTGCCGTAAATTAACACTGATTATGTTAAACTATAATTAAATAGAGTATTTATAAGAAAGTCTATGACTTTTCATTAGTGTTTCTGGCAGAAAGTCTATGATTTCTTCTCGCTATTTTTGGCGGAAAGTCTATGATTTCTTTTCGTTATTTCTGCCAGAAAGTCTATGACTTTTCTTTACTATTTCTACAAAAATCTCCAGTTTTTTCTCATTATTTCTGGCAGAAAGTCTATAACTTTTCTTTACCATCTCTTTCAATGCGCAATATAACGTTGTTTTTGAAGGATGATCCATATCAAGGTGATGGGGACGATGATATGGGACGTTTTTGACGAATATCTGAAACGTTTGAGTCGTTTATGAACTTTCTTTTTACTTTCTGTTACACATTAGTTTTCATATTGCCATTGACGTATTCATTTGTAGTTTTTCTTTTTTTTTAAATGAAGCTTCACTTAGATATTATCATTTGAAATAAGAGCCTATCGTTATTATTATCAAATATTGACAGAAAGACTTTCTGGCAAAATTTAGCCCCCACCACTTTCAAAAGTAATCGGGAACCATGGCTCTACCCAACGCTGATTTATCATATGGTGAAGTAACAGCACGAGTAGAAATCTGATGAAGATTATTTACGTTTGTTAAATATCGTATTGCCCATAGATCCGTATCTCAAACGAAGACAAAAGACAAATATTCAATATTCATAAATGTCAACTTACAATTTTGATCAGATTTTGTAATTGCAACACCGTGATCAGCAAGATATAGTGATATCAACGATGGTATCAAAATAATCACGATGCTGAATAGGACACAGCTGGTGAGAAGCAGTGCAATGCTAAACCAATTATTCCGAATCCTATGAAAAGAAATAAAGATGTTGTTCACATCGATACTTTCTAAGTAAATCACTTACCAATTATAAATTCCAACATTTTGTGTTTCCGCACGACGTTTCGATGTCATGACAATTGACAGAACTCGAATTTGAAGAAGTTTTAATCCAAAAAAAAAATCAATCATTCGTATGAAATATTGAGATTCTCTACATTGCAGTCTTCAATTACATGTTATAGATTACTCGGTCGTCTAATATTGATTTGACTACAAACATAGTATTTTTTTTGAATAGGCACTAAATATATGTGCTTTTTTGTGACTTATTTATTAATCTTAGTCACAACCGTTACATTGATTTTATTCTGTAGAATGATAAAAGTATAAAATAGAAAGTAGTGCATACTTGCTACGAAAAATCACCACGTTGATCTGTTAGTGCAATAATATCCTCTTTTCAAGGAAAACAAGTTAAGTTTTCCTCACCTGTACAGCATATCTTTCAAATGTCGTCCTTGCACAATTGTGATGAAAGAAATTTTCTATTTAGATGCGATTGGTAGATTGAGGTAATAGCATGTTTGTCGGCAACATTACTACGACTATGACGGTGCGATTCTCGAATAACTTTTGTCGGAGACTCGAGTTTTCCATCAGAAGCAGTACTTGAATTCTAGTCTTAGTAGAGTAGACCATATTATTGATCTGGAATTATTGGAAAAGAAACTTGAAGTCTTGTTTCTTCAAACAAAAATATTTTGTCAGACTTCATCAAGAAATGATTGAGATATTTGATTTTTACTTTTGGTGCGCGACTTTCCGGACACCCGGTGCATGTACAAATGAAGCAAATATGAAAGAGAATTCAATTTATACTTTTCATTTACTGAAATCGATCTATAAAAGAACTATTTTATCAATCACGATTGTTAAATTAATTGCGTCATGAATGAAGTTGATACAGTAGTCCACCGAAACAATACGAGTTCACCATCTAATTCAATTCTTGAACAGAATAAAATTCATTAACAACAATTATTCGTATTATATTCACAGAAGAATAAATCATTATCGACGATCAAGGAAAGTTAATCTGTATTCTCAAAATTTTGGTGTGCACCGTTGTTGTAATATTTATGAATATTCATCCAACTACGCCATTTACACCACCACCAACTTGATGGTAGAAGTACAGGATCAAAATTTAGTTTTCGAACCATAATACCAGTCACAACTACACCTTCACAAGGTTTTATGAAATTTCCTTCACGTGCTTTTAATAAAAATTCAAGATTTTCATTATTTTGAAAATTCGGGTCAATATCACCTTGAACACCCGTTTGAAGAAATTCATTTTTCTTTAAAGGCATTAATTTTCTTGTGTCAACTCTCACTTCCAATACAAATTGAAAATACACACTATTGAGAAGGACGACACCTGCGTAGCGTGGATGAGAAGAATAATGAATACTAGGAGAAAGATAAAGTGCCGGAAATCCATGTTGACATTCACGAACTCGAAATCCATTTTTAAGAATCTTATGGATATTATGCGGATCTGTCCCGTGATACAATGTATGCCAATTTGAGCTCCAATCCAAAAGCGATGTCGTATCGACATCTACACTGAGGCGGTACCAAGTGCTTGGAACGTAGTAAGGATATTGTTCTGGTGAAGATGCTAATCGACCTGTCCAATAAGTGTGTATCGTTGATGTATTATGTTTTGTACAGTCCTTTGTACAATATCCACGATTGAATCGTCTATTCCAATTTATAGCTTTTACATGCACCAACGATCGATCATCAATCTCTTCGCATGTAACAGGTACACAGCAACAAAGATCAACTGAATTAACTGCCAATGAATTTGCCATGTGAGTTACAAAATATCGAGACTATAACCTTTTCAATAGAACTATTAGATTGACGATTTCATGCACAAGTGTTGCATGAAATCAACTTTCATTTTTTTTGTTTTCTTTCTTATCATACGCCATAGATACTGTGTGACTATCTCACATACGATGAAATTAGTAGAAATAAAATATAATAAATAAATATTTCTAGTCTTCATCGAATAATACAATTTTTTCTTAGTATTTGTCCTACTGTGACAATAAAAGATCGCACATATGAATCCTTATAATACACTCAACGCTTATCTAGATATAGATAAGGATGAATTTCGTCATATAGGCTCTCACGCCAGAAAAATTTATTATTCAGCCAAGCTCACTCTTGAAGAGCAGGTCCTATAATCGATTCTTGATTAGATATTTTATTTCATCATGTTGTCTGCGTGATTGAACTTTCTTCTACTTGGTCAAGAACAAAATCTGAAGATGGTAAACGACTCATCCATTTTTGTAATTCATCCAAAATTGTTATTGAATTAACTAACCATGGACGCATTTTATAGCAGTCATAGCCATGACGAATGACCAACATCGATGGCAGTTGTTTAACTGATTTCGATGTGATGTGAATTAATTGATTGTCATCACCACACNGTGCTGCTGTTTGCTTGTGCATAAATTTTATTTTATCGCTGATTTTCACTTTAAAATAATGAGACTTTTTTGATGGATCGATTTGATCGAAAATTCTCATTTCTTGGTATGTATCTTTAGAAGCTACTAAATGGTAATCAGTTGAATCAGTATTTGCAGTAATGCTTTCATCGAAAGCATCATGCAGATCACATTCGTCGAAGTAGGAATAATCTACAGTTGATTTTTCATTAAGTTGCTTGAAAACAAATGCATTTAAATTATCGAAGTCATTTAAATTGTGTTTCTCGAGCATCGAATATATTTGCAAAGCATTCATCAGTGATTCAGCTCGAACCCAGGTCAACAAATCCGATGCTGGATCCAAGTATGGGATTGTTCGACCTGGGTTCCGCTGATGGTTTCATCTCAATATGGAATTCCTTGAGAATGATAACGGGGCGTGCTGATTAATTCGTATCCACTCTGAAAGGAAAATATACGTATGATATTCTACTAAACTCCGGAAATCTTTTAATATACTTCCGTTCTGTCAAGTAATGCTGAAAAATTAGTCAACATGAAATCAGTGTACTAGACAGAATAGCATGTTTCAAGTGCTAAATACATTTCTTCAACAGAAGAAATTGACTTATGAGAAATATTATAGAATCTGACTATCAGCTCGGAACAGTAGTTGATTGTCTAAAAGTAGACCACACAAAGGCATATATATAGTTTTCGGCTCGAATTACATAGAATAATTCAGAGAAAAGAATATTCTACCACTAGTTACAATTTTAGCCAATTTATTGCAATAAAATTTCTGAAAAAGATAATATTTTCCATTGATTCACAAGAATGAACCAATAAGCGCGAGAGGAAAGGGATGTATGTAGCGGATCTCTTGCTAATTAGCGTTGTTCTTGATGACAACAAATTGGAAATTGATGAATTCGATATGATATCAATAGCGATAGTCAAGATCTATCTGAAACCAATGTTTGTTTCATTGGAAAGCAATTTTAGGCAAAACCTAGGTTTTTCACGGATTGGGGTCGATTTTTGACATATTTCGGTCGGAAGAAAGAGTCTGGCGGAAAAGTGCTGTTAGACACAGTCGCCGAGTTTCATCGATCCCAGGTGTTTCAGATCCATCACAAGTTCCTGAGCGAATGTCAGCAAGGAGTATTCAATTCCGTTCCTAACTTCCATCACGTATTAAGAGCCTATTTACGTTTGATACTTTCGAAATAAATAAATCTTTATTTCTTCAGAAGATTTAACGAACTCGACATTTCCTAGCTCCTGGAGACAACCTTTCAGCCACATTGAATTGAAGCCATTTAGAAATCGAAGATTAAGCAATATTAACTGAGATAAATGTTTGAATAAGTATAACATAAATTCTTCATTGTCATTCATACATGTTAAGTGTTTAACCGATGAAAATGTTTGACAAAATCGTTTCAACTGGCTTAGGTTATTGACTAAACTCTTGCCATGACAAGATACCTCTAATTTCAAAATCGTTCTTCTTAAATGTTCGCATAATCCATCATTTTGAAATAAATATTTTAGATACTCTCGATCAATAGCCAACGATGAAATCTGTTGTGCTTCTTTCAAAAGATAGAACAGCATTGACGGCTTGATCGATCGACTTGCCGATGTCATATTCAAACTTATTACATTCGACAAATTAACAGTTGCTTTCAGAGATTCAAGTTGTGTTCTTTTCATGATAGAATCTGTTTCCATAGGCTGCGTGTCAGAGAAGCAAAGTGATGTGATGTGAGAAAAATAAGAAGGGTATGCTCCTTCAGCTAAAGCAGCAACATCTATAGCTAAATCGCTAATATTATCAAATTTATCAGTATCATTTGTCGCAGAATTGCAATGTGTAGAAGTGCCTCTTTCAACCCGATACATCTTTGAAATGTATGGAGTTGTGTAAATTCTTGCTGAACGATTTGATATCACATATTCAGTACGCCAGTGGTGTTGTTCCATCCAGAATTGTCCTCGAAATTCTTCAAATCCCATCTCAATACACCGCGATTCCGTATGACGATCACAAGAAAATACGAATTGAAAATGGATCAAACGAAGTAAATATAGGCGAATGATATTTTCCCATACAGAAGCACGAATAGCATTGTCGCCATAACATACATCTATCTTTAAGTATGTTAAATTCGGTGTTTGCTTAAAGATCATCCGAAGAGTATCGTTATCATATGGAAAATGTTCGATCGTCAAATGCGTAAGGTGAATAGCATCATCAACATAAGACAGCTTTGCAAAAATATCTGCCGTAAAGCTCGAATGGCTCCAAGTACTGATCTGGAGATGTTTCAATCGTGTGGCACTTTTCCATATTGATGTTAATTGATTTTGATCGCAAGATGACACTGTCAAATTTTCAAGAGATGAAAATTGGTTGATGCTGGTGTTTCTGCTGGGTAACGTTGGTATTGATAATATCTTTAGTTTTGACATTGGCAAAGCGGAAATAATGACGTCGATTTGTGCATCAAAGCCTGTATAATTAAATGAAGTTAATTGTTCGAGATATGGTAAAGTTGATCTAATTAATTCAAGATTGTCTTCTGTGACTGCCTTCAGAGTTAATGACTGAAGGTGAATGAATCGACCAAGTGAAAACCGAGAGAGAAACGGTTGAATCTGCCAACAGGTATTTTCATTTGATAGATATAATGAGTGGATTTGTGTAAAGATTTCTTCATTTGATGAAATTAATTTACAACATTGATCAAATAATTGCTGGTCGATATTTTCAAAATTCACTGATAATCGAATTGAATGAGGTACATCGATGAAATCCAGATATTTGAAACACGAAGTTTCTAACGTCGTCGCCATTTCTTGTTTGTCGTCGTTCATGTTCAGATAAATTTGATTCTGAGGACGTTACAGGTATTTATATAACCTGAAAAAGTTCTACAAATTTTCCCCCTTACACAACGCGATGTGGTTAAAGTGAAAGATGTTGCGCAATGTTGTTTTTTCCTGACAAAATGGTGGTATAGATGAGTCATAGGTTAATGCGCTAGACAGGTAGTGTATTTGATTATTGACAGTATGTTTTGTCATTACAATGTATAAACCCTTTATATCGTGTTAAGTCCGATTCATTTTTTTCCAGATGTAACACGAATTTAAATATTAAAAATGAAAAAAAAAACTGTACGAAAAACAACGGCATGGCATTTCGTAGCTAATCTTGAGGGCGTACGTATTCTTTCAATCTTGCTTTGAGATTATAGATCCGAAGCTTTCCATTCGAGCCAAACACGACAATTGAAATTAGTGATTCAATTATTCATTTAGTTATGCACGTGCAATTTCTTTTAGAACAATGGCTGATAACTAATGAAAACACTGCTGTTCAAAATGACTTACGTTTATATTCGAGTTCACAGGACAGCAAGAATCGAATGGAACTAGTTTAATATCATAATTCAACCATAGATAACGAAATTACTTTTGATAAGTGACTTTCCGGACATCCGGTTCATGTGTAAGTAAAGCAAAGAAGAATCATTTATGGAATGACTTTTCGATATCGTATCATACTGTTCTCTCATTATTCTACATACTACCTTATACATATTCTGTCAATGATTTATAATATATCCATTGGTATAAAAGAAAATTCAAAGTATACTTTTCACTTTTCATTTACTGAAATCGATGTATAAGAAAAAGTTATTTTTCACTATTTCATCAATTGAAATTACTATATGATTTTTGTTATAAACGAAGTTGATGCAGTAGTAAATCGAGTACTATGCGAAAACAACGCGAGTTTACCATCTAATTCAATTATTGAAGAGAATACCATGCATTCGTAATACTTGTTCGTATTCTAATCACGGAAGAATAAATCATTATCGACGATCAAGGAAAGTTAATCTGTATTCTCAAAATTTTGTTGTGCACCGTTGTTGTAATATTTTTGAATATTCATCCAATTACGCCATTTACACCACCACCAGCTTGATGGTAGAAGTACAGGATCAAAATTTAGTTTTCGAACCATAATACCAGTCACAACTACACCTTCACAAGGTTTTATAAAAATTCCCTCATGTGCTTTTAATAAAAATTCAAGATTTTCATTATTTGGAAAATTTGGGTCAATATCACCTTGAACGCCCGTTTGAAGGAATTCATTTATCTTTAAAGGCATTAATTTTCTTGTGTCAACTCTCACTTCCAATACAAATTGAAAATACACACTATTGAGAAGCACGACGCCAGCATAGCGTGGATGAGAAGAATAATGAATACTAGGAGAAAGATAAAGCGCCGGAAATCCATGTTGACATTCACGAACTCGAAATCCATTTTTAAGAATCTTATGGATATTATGTGGGTCTGTCCCATGATACAATGTATGCCAATTTGAGCTCCAATCCAAAAGAGATGTCGTATCGACATCTACGCTGAGGCGGTACCAAGTGCTTGGAACATAGTAAGGATATTGTTCTGGTGAGGATGCTAATCGACCTGTCCAATAAGTGTGTATCGTTGATGTATTATGTTTTGTGCAGTTCTTTGTACAATATCCACGATTGAATCGTGTATTCCAACTTATAGCTTTTACATGCACCAACGATCGATCATCAATCTCTTCGCATGTAACAGGTACACAACAACAAAGATCAAATGAATTAACTGCCAATGAATTTGCCATGTGAGTTACAAAATATCGAGACTATAACCTATTCAAAAGAACTATTAGGCTGACGATTTCATGCACAAGTGTTGCATGAAATCAACTTTCTTTTTTTTTGTTTTCTTTCTTATCATGCGTCATAGATACTGTGTGACTATCTCACATACGATGAAATTAGTAGCAATAAAATATAATAAATAAATATCGCTAATCTTCATCGAATAATACAATTTTTTCATAGTAATTATCCTATTGCGACAACAAAAGATCACACATGTTTTGAAAACGACCATGATACGATCAACTTTCTATGAGTAGCTGTCTAATTTCACTCATAATATAAGCGCTGAATCCTTATAATACACTCAACGCTTATCTAGATATAGGTAAGGATGAATTTAGTTATATAGGCTCTCACGCCAGAAAAATTTATTAATCAGCCAAGCTTGCTCTTGAAGAGTAGGTCCTATGATCGATTCTTGATTAGATATTTTATTTCATCATGTTGTCTGCGTGACTGAACTTTCTTCTACTTAGTCAAGAATAAAATCTGAAGATGGTAAACGACTCATCCATTTTTGTAATTCATCCAAAATTGTTATTGAATTAACTAACCATGGACGCATTTTATAGCAGTCATAGCCATGACGAATGACCAACATCGATGGCAGTTGTTTAACTGATTTCGATGTGATGTGAATTAATTGATTGTCGTCACCACACTCCGACAAAGCATACGGTAAGTCAAGTGTTAAATCAAGATCTGAAGAAGAGTTATCATCAGAAAAGCAAACCAGACAGCGTATACCACACAATGAGAGTAACTCATTGGTTAATTCATGCGCGATTTCTGGAAACTCAAGTAGTATATAAGTTGCTTCATTCATTAAAGCCAAACACATAAACGATGCAGCTAATAACAATTTTACAATTGCTCTATCATAATCTTCTTGAAACGTACTCTCTAATTGTGCACATACACGCTGAAATTGTTCAATGTAGTCTTGCCCATTATCCCACTGGTCAATCATACGATACGATTGAAAAAGTGTATAGAAGGCAAGAACAATCGATGGAACAACGAACTCAGACTTGTCTAGCTTTTTAGAGAGATACCACAAGATTGGGCACTTTTCAGACGCTTCGGAAAATTCTATCGTTGATAATGTTGTATATTGACCATTTTCTTCTCTAGAAAAAATAAATATGCTTAATGCGTATTGTATGTATGTAACTTTAACTTGAAACAAACGGATGAGATTTTATCAAACCTTACTCGTTCATCGTGTAAACTTGAATAATTGTTTTTATTTTGTCAATAGCTTGATCATAATAACCGAAAAGAAAGTAATAAGTATAACACATATTGACATTGATTTCCAACGTTCGCGTCTCTGATAATTCTAGTGCGCGACAAAATAAATTTTTCAATTGTTCTGAACATTGATTATGACGATCTTCTGCAAAAGATTTCTGCTCTATATTTATAGTAACACAAATAGGATCATTTTTTTCTAAAGCATATAAATTCTGTTTCAGTTTGAAAACAACGATCGATTTCTCCAGTGCTGCATCATAGAATGCATTTGCTAACAAGTCGTTTTTTATACCTATACCACGAAATCGGTCGATCAGGTATTGAATATCAGTACACGTTGGTAAATCCAGCAATGGTACGCAGAGCATTGTAAGAAAAACTTCGAAAATGTTCTGGAGATGATATTTTTCAATCGGTATATAATTATAATCGCGTTTATTGGTTGCTACTCCATTTAATTTTAAAAATGGAATCACAACAATGTCACCTTCGAAAATAAAAATAAAAGACTATTACAATACTGTTTCTGCAAATGACAAAAAGACTTTGTTTTATCGAAGATCACGCGATTTGACAGCGAGTAGCATGTAGGATTTTGCTGGAAATGCAACACGAGTTTTATCAGAATTGAAGTATGTCCTGACTACGAGAAATTTTAGTTCAACATTACAACAAAGTGTATCATTTAGGAAATGATGCGTCTCTTATACTTTAAGCATTTTTTCTCATTCCTAAATCCGCTCTCCGCATGCTAGTCAGAACGAAATGAAATTGTATGGTGTCTTACTTGTGTTGGTGTCATTCTCATCGTCACTGTCTTGTTCATATTCTTCGTCAAAATACATGTCACTCATATTAAACATCAATACAATTGGTTCCCAAATATTATATGTTAACCAAAAGAGTTTCCTATTATCATATCTTTGAATTGGATAGTGGCCTTCTTGTTCGAAACATGTCGGTAAACTTTTTCGCAATTTCGGTGTAACTGTCACATTTAACCAGGTAAATAACAGCTCTTCGACGTTGGATATGGTGTCATTTGATGATGTATGGAAATATTTATTCGATAAGTTCACGATATGCTGAAAACGCTGCAGTCGGATATGATCACGTTCTTTTACTGCTAAGAACAATAGTGATCTGAGATGCCATATATAAATTTGAGTTTTAGAATAGTCATCTACTAGAGGGGTTTTCACACGAGACCATCTGACTAATAGTTGAAAATTCGTTTTCATTTGTTTTATTGTTTCAACTGGCTTTGCATGAAATTCATCCAATTTTTCAGCTAAAAACATACATTTTTCTTCGGGTATTAATCGCAGCATGTCGATATCAGATATAAAATAATTTGACATGCTTTTAGTTTTCAAAGCAAGTGACAAACATTGTACGATATGTAAGAATAAATCCGCTTGTTCTTGTGCTTCTTGCATTTGGAGATAATTACCTTCCATATACGTAAAGAGAAATGTTTTAATATGATGCGACGATATAGTATCTAAACAAACATATAATTCAGTCGATATTATAGATAAAGCAAACTTTGCGAATCGTACTAATTCGCGGATGGACTCTCATCTTTTTATGTTTGACATGAACAAACGATGTATGAGATATTATCAAGTATAACGAACCTGGTGCTAATTCTTGGATGAACGACTTCAACAATCGATAAAAATTTTTTTCCTGTTCGTTCCATGAGTCCGTCAACAGCACTTCTGCAAAGCTTAGCGATAGACGCCATGTTAACGAATCTTCTTCACCTTCGTTAATTCCGAGCCAGCGTTTAGGTACTAAATGGCACACTGATTTTCGTACCATTTCAATAACATGTGCTGATGGCCACTGCTTGGAGCGATTGGCCCATTGTTCAAGTACATGATAAGGTATGTTTGGCATTGATAATGAAAAAACAAAGTCTTGCAGTGCTCTTGTCTTATTCAGCAAAGCTGTCATAGCTGGCCCGTGCTGTTCCGTTATACACGGGCCCTTTTGATCATATTTAACAAATTCACTATGTAGCAAATCCGTTATTTTTTTACTTGATATGTATTGTTTATCATTTCGTTCTTCAAAAATATCTAAATGCTTCANAATGTTTCCATATGTCCATCTTCGCAAGCATTCAACTTTAATACTAGTCTTCTAGTTATACTTATTTATAATTCCATCGCACGAAATCGTACAGAACTTATTCATTTGCCAGTTAGTTCACTTACTCATTGCCATATTCGATCTTCAACAGGATTTATTCCAGTTCAAATAACACCAGTAATGGTGACGTCGGCAATTAATGTATCATTAGCAGCTCCTTATCGATGTTCATTTCTGGCGAGAGACATTCCTCCGATTGGTTATGACACATACTGGCTTACTAACCAATCAACGGCGACTACTCCATCTAATCCAACACCGATCAAGAGCACGAGTGAAGTAATATCGATCACAAATGAATTTTGGAATATTCAATACGAGTACAGGACTACTCTTCGCCGCTACTCATATACCTTCAAACAAAACGATCGACATCTCACAAGAATTTCTTTACTATCCATCCAGTGATGACGGTAATCCTTACGTATTTCGGCCGTTAGAGCAAATACCACGTCCTATATCATCATATGCACGATTAGAAGTAGTGTCTGGCTTATTATATGCTGAAGTTCGGCAGTATATTACTGAATGGATTAGTAGTAGTGTGCGTCTCACACGGAACTCATCTGTCATAGAGTTCGATTACACTGTTGGTCCAATACCGATCGAAGATAGTTTAGGCAAAGAGATCATTACTCGTTTCAATACAAGTATTCGAAGTCAAGGTGTATTTTTTACAGATAGTAATGGTCGTGAATTTCAACGGCGTCAAAGAGATTATCGTCCCACATGGAATTATACAGTGACAGAACCTGTTAGCGGCAATTACTATCCGATGACAGCAGCAGTACGTATTGAGAGTGATGTCATAATATCGGTACGACGGGTATTCATCAAAATCCATCATTTTTGCTCCAATACCATTCTACGTTCCTCTTCGCCATCCGCCACGCTATGCACATCTCGATCCATTTGAAAAGCTGAGGGATTGAGTGGATGTGTCGTATTCACCACGATACGACGATGCCGATCCATTTGAAAAGCTGAGGGATTGAGTGGATGTGTCGTATTCACCAAGATACGACGATGCCGATCCATTTGAAAAGCTGAGGGATTGAGTGGATGTGTCGTATTCACCACGATACGACGCGGTGCCGATCTATCTTCGAAATGTGTGGATTTTGATTGAAGGTTTTCATAGAGATTAGATGATGTTTTACCGGGAGTAAATTGTTTCGTGCTATTAAGTGGCTCACCAGAATATGGACGTTGAGTGACGTATAGTAAGTGAAGGAGCGGATCTGCTGGAAAGAGTGCGTCGTGAAAATCAGTTAGTTGGAGAGTTGAAAAAGATGGTATGGTGTAGTGGAGCTGCGCCTTTGTTTGTAATAGTGAGACACTAATGAATAAATATTTCGAATTTTAATTGATGCTTCGATTTTGCATGGGGCTGCTCGTGGCTTTGCTTGTTGGCCTCACGTTCCGAGCGGCGTCAGTTGCTGCTTGGGCTACCAGTCTTGCTTCCCGAGCGCCTTCGCCTTTGATAAATTCATCTGTGGTTTTATACGCTTGGTAAAGGTTGATAAGCTGGATTTATTAAATGAAAAATATGAGAAACAAAGATAATTGGTAAATTATGATTTTGTACAACTGTAGAGAGAAATATTTTTTTTCTTACAGTTCATGAAATTAAACAACAAAAGATAGAAGATTTTACTCTTTGGAAAAGAGAAAGATGATAGTGCATTTTGGTATTTTTTCAATTTGGAATTTGTCTGTTCACAGACAACTGTGTTTATACCATTGACATCAGGATATTTGTATGGGTTGGTTTGTGCCTGACACATCGGTCTCGTATGATTACCAATATGAAATTTATCAACCAAAAACGTCATGTTATTTCTAGAAAGTAAAATGAATTTGTATCCATGTAGTGAATGAATGACGTAAACTTACAAGACATCGGTGCGTGCTGTGTGACGTATATGACCATTTTCAAAACGATTTTGAAACGTGAGTAACAGACCACATGCATTGTCGTATATCAAGTATTTTGGTAATGGACTTCAGAGAAAAAGTTTCGTGCAGAATAAGTATGGATCTAATCTGCGCAATTAATACTTACACAGATGATGATAGACAATCAATTGTTGTAAATAAGTGATGGAGGACTCGTGTAGGTGATTCAGATCTGTATAATTCATTGAAGTTCAGAATAATACCACAATTGTACATAGTGAGTATTACTCCATAGGAAGTTCGACGACCACAGTAACGATCGGTTCTATCGAGCAAAAAACTGAACAATTGATATGTTTTGTATTCGTGATTACCTTGAGACATTACAATCTACAACATTATAATCATCTTTGTCTATTGAGCAAGGTGCTGCTTGAATATGCTCAAGATAAATATGTTTGGGGCAATATTTTGTATTTTTCCAGTAGCCTGGATTGTCTTTGTCAGGAATCATTTCTGGACGAAAGCCACAACCCCATTCAATATCACCTGAAGGTGGCATGAGAACAACTTGATAGCCATTTTAGAAAATCTTACCCAACTCTTCCGAATGAATGAGTTCCTGCATAAAATTGCAAATATAACGATCAGGCTTTTGGAATCCATCGATAACAATTGCTTTGCAGCATTGATTACCACAATTGAATTTCAACATATGATTTGACCAATATTGAATAAAGTCACGTTCTAATTGAGTTATTTGGGAAGCAAAAAAATGATTCCGTTCGTCACGATTGCTAAGATGATATGGAATTTCAATTTCTGTATCTGTTGACAGGAAGAACTTTGATAATGCCGTTGAATAAATTAACCAGATATTTTCAAACAGATGACGCTCTAACAATGGTGCGTCTTTTAAGTCAAGAACATTATCACGAGCATTTTGCGATGATACTGATGCTACTGTATCATTATAAGCACCACAAAAATTTTCGAAACCGGCATACTAAAATAAAGTTTTATAGTCAAAACATTTCAAAAAGAGACGAGGAAAATGTGTTGGACTTGAATGAATATTATTTATGACGTAAAAAGTTAATTATAAATTCTTTAACTTACCATGTTAAGCAAATCTGACACATATCGTAATAGAATATCAACATGTAAAACGCATTTACCACCGAAATGAATATATTTTTGGTTGTAGAAAGACTGACGACTAACGTAACGTTTTGAGCCTTTGACATAACTATTAGTATGATATTCAACATGACAGCATCGAGCAATGAAAATAGTCCCAATATCTATATGATCCATGAGGAAGACATTGACTTTCTCTTTAAACTGTAATTTCAGTGGAAGATTACAATATAGACACGATGTTGTAAATGGTTTTATCGTATGTAATGAAGCCATTGTAAGAAAGCGATGATCTCTAGAGTAATCGTTAATGATTTCATCGATGTTGTGCGATGAAAATATACGCAATGAGATATTATCTGATTTTAGTAAGTTCAAAATAGATTGTATCAATGAACCATCATATTTGACTCCATATGTCACCTGGACCATATTTGATATATCATCATATTTCTTTGAAATAAGTTCATCCAGTTTGCAATCAAGAAAATACATGAAACTCAAATGTTGCAATGGTACTCGTCGATTTAATGAAATAAGAAACATTTCATCGTCATTGAAACTATCGGTATTACAATTAGAATTCATCTAAGAAGAAAAAGAAAAGATAAGTAGCGGAACATCCTTAATCAATTAAATAAATGTTGTCATTACGAACAAGTAACGCTCGTCGAGGTCAACTCGCTTAACCCTCGACTGATGCCTTTTTCATTCTACTCATTTCAAACAATGTATGAACCCATCCATCTCGCAGTCGGTCGTCGGCGTCCCTGCGGTCCGCCACTCCCGACTGCTCGA